ACATTTACTCAGGGTGGATTTGGCTCGGGCCCCAGTACAAAGAAAGCAAATTCTGTGGTTGGGGAGTTGTGAAGATAATAGGAAGTTACACCTGCTATGAGCACAGACTTAGTAATCAAACACAGTATATTTTAATGGGGATGCATCTAATATTAACTGTAGCTGATTTAAAAACATTTTGAAAATATAACTGGGCTGGAGCACATTATGCTGTGCGATGGAGGTCTTTGCAGCCAAAAGGTTCTGCTGTTCCCATTGGACATCAACATGGGAAATGTCCACTATCAGGATGTAGTGCATTGGAAGCAGTACATATGTGCTTGTGTTAAATCAGACACAGACTTCTGAAAAATAATATTGCCAAGCAGATGTTCATGCTGGGAATGGGAAGGGAAGAACTGAGTGTTAGTAGTCTTGAAAATACTTATGCTCTACTTTTATGGTTTCTTGTCACTTTTGTTTTTCCACTGAGCTTTCTGTTCTTCGACCATATCTCTAATAGAGTTTATTCTTTGCCCTTTCATTTCTGTCCTCACTGCTTTTGCTTTCTCTTCCTCTGTTTCATTTTTCACTCCTTGTTTTCTCGACTTCTGCAAAATAGAAAACTTGCGTCTGGTCTCTGAGAACAGCCAGGATTTGGACTCCCTGCACTGCGCTCCTCTAAAGATTTTTTAACCTCATCTTTTTGTGATGTTTTGCAAAAATTCTAGAAAGGATGTTGCCTTTTTAGATGCTGGGATAATTACATGGCACAACAGTCCCAGACTACAAAGGAACAAGATTTATAGGAAATTGGGTAAATTTGGGAGGTAAAAAAAAAAGAAAGAAAGAAAGAAAAAACAGTAAAAGAATGTGCAGTAGAGCTGTGCTAGTCACTGAATTCACCCATTCTAATGACTCCATAAATGCAAACTGATGACCCGTTATCTCACTGAGTGTTTGTAGCCTGTTTTATTTGTTCTGTTGTCTGTGACGTTCAGTAACAGAACTGAAAGTATAGAGGACTTTTAGTGACTGTGAGTGTGACTGTCCCAAAGGGAAATGCTGAAAGCACTAAGAAGTTACCTGCTGACGCCTGCTTCTGCGTGCCTTGCTGGAAGAGGAAATGGCAGCTCAGAGCAGACATGTCCGTTGTTACATGGTGGTAGGGTATGTCAGGTCCTATGCTATTGTTATCTTTCCTTTTTTTTATTAGAAATATGCTGAATTGGCCTTTTACATGTGAAAAGCATTTTCTTTATTACGTAGTCAGCAAGTAATGCAGTTCAGATATCTCAAAAGTATCTGTGGCACGTGCTTGTGCTGTTCTTGGGGAAGTGTACAAGAATATATCATTAGAATTTACTTGTTTTATAAGTGGAGCTGAGTTACATTTGAAATAAATGAATTCTTGAGGTTACAATGATCAGAGGTTTAATGTGGAGGTAAAAGAAGTCATTTTTCTTCATGGTGTTAATAGAATTAATGTAACTAGCGGCTCGTATGACAATATTTGTGTGTTGCCACCACATAAATACTACATTTATGAAAAGTAAATTGAAAGTGTGAGGTCTTGATTTAAATTTCTAGTTCGACCTTGAAAAACATTCCCAGATGGAGAGAGTTAAATCAGCTCAGCTCTGAAAGAGGAACATATGAATCACGGTTGCTAGGCTCTTCCATGAGAGGCATGGGCTTTACATCCACGGCTAAGTATTTCAGAAGTCATCTTTAAACTCAGAGGAACGGAGCGTTTGAAATGATACTGGTGGAATACTGTAAACTTCATTAGACTTTTAAATGGAGAATTTGCATGTCATTAAATAAAATAGGTATAAAGTATTAGACAGTGGAATATCAGTGGCAAGACTTCTAAACTGTGATAAGGGGCTGTGGAAGGAGCAGAGAATTTGAACATCCATCTCCTTCACTTTGTTATGTACATTTTGTTGAACTGTTCTGCATATTCTCTAACACTTGCACAGTATATTTTATGTCATTCTCGTAACAGTTTCACATTGGTGTTTGTCCTTTTGGGACACAGGAACAGAAGTAAGAGTTCCATGAATCCTCTTGCTCTGCTGACTCGAATGACACGAAGCATATGAAGAGCATGGGAGTTTACGTGCCTTAGACAGGCTCCTGTGTTGGGCAGTGTGGTTTCAGGTCTGAGCTCTTTTCCAGTGATCTTCATTGCTCTAGATGGAGTCACAGTCTCTGAAGTCAGATGCATTGTGAAGCTCATCTTGCGTCTCTGGAGAGTGTTGGTGCTGTTTGTTGCCCGCTGACGCCCGCTGTGTTACTCTGTGGGCTGTTGTTGTGTCCGTGCAGCTCTCAGCTGGTCCCGTGCTGGCTGTATTTGGAGCCCTACAGTTACAGCAAGAAAAGGATTTTATTGCATCAATTTAAAATAAATGCTTTGATAATTAAAAGCTAAAAGTTAATGTTATCACATAGGAGAAAACAAAGGATTTGCGTTTAGGACTCCAACATCTTGGTACTCTCTCACCATCTGCATGTAGGTGATGCTCTGTATCAGTGGCTGTAGTGTACTGGAGGCAGAAGTTCTTTGTGTCATCCAGCTGCAGTCTGGTGCATGACTTCTTCTGAAATCACAGTTCTGATTTGCAGCAAATCCTTTTTTCTGCATCAACTGTGTTTACTCTTGGGATGGGTTTGGTGAGTTTGTGTGTTTAATAGTGCTTTGGCATTGCTTTCTGTCACTCAGAACTTTGATTTTCAAATTTTAAAGAAACGCTTCCCAGTATATAGGGCTGCTCCTAAATTATTCCAATTTCTGGGGATCCCGAAACTGAAACAGGAAACAGGAAAGCGTTTGTGTTTATGTCAACTTCTGCTGATTTGTTTCACTTGTAGTGTAAAATTGTAGCTCCCTATTTCCAGCAAATATTCATAAGGTGCTACTTGAATCGAGTGACTGTGACTAATGCCAAGGAGTGCTTTATTTTGCAAGACAGAGAGAAGCAGACAATCCTTTTCTCATCTTTGAGGGCTGTTTTCCCCCTGCATTTCATACAGGCTGGTGTAAAGTCTGTGAATTCAGTGTTGTCAGAAAAGGTTTGGATCTGAGAAAAGGTTACAGGGTGTGGGTTTACAGTTCGTTAGGCATTATACAGTAGTAGCCAGTCAGTGTGCTATTAACAATGTAAATAGCAGGCAGTGTACACTGTTATTGTCCCATTCATCACGGTGTATTAGTAGTCAGATGGAAGTGACCATGGACTATTTGTGGAAACTATTTCATGCAGACCTACCCAAAGAACTCCTGCATGGAGCGTTAACTAATGACCGTTAAGTTTATGTATTTATATGGAATATTAATATTTATTTGCATTTCTTTTCCTTAACCAGCTTAAAGTTAAATCACATGAAGTAAACACTGAGAAATAGAGAAGTATTATTGAAGTATTATTCCTATCTTGCTTTCGTCTAGGGTATGTTTACAGGATTTTGCCTAATTGATGGTACATTAGATGTACCTGGAGGTCTCAAAACATTTTTCTTTTCCAAAACACCATACAACTAAAATTTTTTAAACAGTGCCACTCAGTACTTAATGAGGCACGAATCACTGTGTAATAATTTTGTAACGTAACGGTTGTTGCTGAGAAGTGCCTGCGATGTAGATAAGCATAGCTGTGACCTGTCACAGCCACTTGAGTCCTTGTGTTTGGATCCAAAGGCACAATCTGGTTGCAGCTGCCCTTATAGGTATTGCATTCGGTTTCAATATAGCGCTATTAGTGTTTTTGAAAGCCTGGGACATGCACCTTCTTTTACAAGGAAGAAATCATGACATTTCTGGAAGGGAAAACCCTTATTCCGCAGGAGCCCTTTGCTCTGGAAGCTGCTCGGTGTGGATGTGTTCTTTTGTCTGCGAGAGGCAGCGTGCAGGCAGCGCTGCGGCCCTTGTTTGCCTTGGGTTATGTCAGCGGCGCTCTGAAAACGCAGCGACTCCATTTACTCCACAGCCGGTGTTCCGTTCATCAGCAGGAATATCTTTCTAGTTCAGTGCAGTGTGGTTACAAATACATCTAGGCACATGAATAGCTTTAACACAAAACGCCAGGACTGGTTCTAGCACAGAGGTAAAGAACGTCCTTAATTTCTAATTTACTGCTAACATATAAATCTATCGCTTGAGTATTCTTAGAAGAAAATAAGTTTTCTTATATCAGTCTTAATCCTTTAAATAGTGCTGTAAATCCCTTAGCCATGCTCTTTGCGGTGATGAATGAATGTGTTATTGTGTGTTTCCTCTTTTTTTTGTCTTCTAATGAGTAACATTTTTAGTTATTTCAGTGTCATAAACCTTTCAGTTGGGTTTTAAACGTTAAATTGTACTCTTAAGAAACTGTATTCTTAAAAACAACGTTGGGGCAACTAATTTTATTAGTAAAAGTCTGCAAGTATGTATGTTATCTCCCAAATCCACACATGCTCTGACATACTGTTATCTCTCTATTTCTCTCTTATGTAGCAGTTACACAGATCTCTGGCAGCAGATGGCTGAACTATAATACACTGCTAAACCATTAGGCATGTAATACTACCTGCTCAACGACTGTGCGTCTAAAATGGTTTAAAAAAATGCAGTAAACTTCATCTTAGAACTCATTTAATGAAATTGGAATAAAACGCAAACCTGTTTCAGAACACGTAAAATATCCCTTTATGTTGTGTCTGTCGTTTGAAGTCAGTCTCTTATTACATTCTTGCATCTGCTATAAGATGGTCAGTCCTCAATCAGATTTCTAATAGATGTTTTCTACAAATAATCACTTATTTTACATTTATCTTTGTATGGAAATTTTTACTCTTGTAGTACTCCAGCACTGAAGTATCCATTGCATTATATGCTCTTTTTTTCCTCATTTGCAGGTTTTATACACGTGTATTGAAATTATGATTCAGCTCTAGTGTCGTGGCTCTGTAATTAAACTGTTTTTCAATCATTGTAAGCAGCTGAGAGATATGCCATTTTGTCTTTTTGTTTTTAGATATGCCAATATTTGGTCTTTGCCCGGCTCATGATGATTTCTATTTGGTGATGTGTAACCACTGTAATCAGGTCGTAAAACCACAGGCATTTCAATCACATTATGGTAAGTGCTTAACTATTTTTAATAATTAAGGGTGAGGTTAAATCAGGATTAAGCCTGGCAATTTTTTTTTTTTTTATCTTGATGGTACATAGAACATTAAATTATAAATAATGTCAAAGAACATAACCTGTGTTTAATCATTTTATATACACAACAATGCAGTTACATGAAGATCTTATTCCTTTCAATTTTTAATGTCTTCCTGAAGCACTGCACATGTGCAGTTCAGTGTTGAAATGACATGTATACTGTATTTCACAGACAGGATGTGCAGTGTGTTTGTTTGTGTCATTTCTCCATGTGTATTTACACTGATTACTTTTACACGAGGTTCCATTGCAGTTTGAGCTGTAACTTAACCAAAAGCTAAACTTACAAATTCTGCTGTAAAACATAATATGCTTCCAAAGGAGCAGAAAGCTTATTTATTTTCAGTAGTGTCAGTCTGTATTTATTTTAATGGTTCGATGGTTTTGTATATAAACTGTGCTAGGAAGCTCTTGTTACATTGGCTGGTGCTGGCCAACATTTACAGAGGACTGAGAAAATACAAAGTGCTCTGCAAGTTCAAGTGTTCTTTTGCTACCTACAAGAAATAGCTGAGAAAGGCAGCAAACCTTCTTTTCCGTACATATCTTGAGATTAGAAATTGATATCAAGCATTTTCATGTCAATACGTAAATAGGAGATTTTTGGTGTTCAGCTGTTTGTTTCTTGAGAAATTGAGGAGATGTGTTAGCGCTTGATCAGAAAAAAAAAAAATAAACATCTGAACTACTCCTTCCTCCCTGTGTCTGTCTGTTTGTATGTGTTCCTTTTTTTTCTAGCCCAGTATATGACTGCTTGCTTTTCTGTTTAAAAGGATAGAAAATCTTGGATATGGGTGGGGAGTCTCTTCCAGACCTGAGAGCAAGCAGAACTTTCCTTGCATCTTAAACTCTCCAGCAAGAAAAGATGTGTTTGCTTCTGCTGCTTCCTTGAGACTGGGAAATGGTCTTCCTGTGCAATGCAGAGGGTGCACTTCTTCTTCTTTCTCACTTGGTTTTTGTGTTAGAATGCCATACAGGATACATCCCAACCCTTGCTGCTGGATTCTGCAGTCACTCAGTGAAGAATCTGATGGATGTAGTAATTCTTACTAGTTTGCTTGCTCATCTGTGGATGGCAGTAGTAATAAAATAAAAAGCAAACCCAGTTTATGTCTACAGGGCTATAGTGAGCCAGAAGAGCAGAAGGGGAATACTCTTCTCTTACTCTGGTTGATGTAAGCCTTTATATATGTTGAGAGCAATTCCTCTTCTTGCCAGTGTGATTCCTCACCTGTCACTGAGTATCAGTTTGGGATGTCCAATAAGTCCTTCTAAAATATCATATTAAATGGATTCTGCCAGTTAAAAATAAATTTATGGGGGAGGACTGGAAGGTACCCAGTTCTGAGTATTGGCATCGTGATTCTTGTGCCTCAAGCCAGGAATATGAAGCTGGCTCTGGTTGGTAGTGATGGAGGAGAGCTGTTGGCCTCTGCACACGATTTGGACTGATGTTCTGCAATGAGTTAGTGACCCCCAGATACTGGAAATCCATACTGTGGTGGCCAGTGTTGTAGCTGTTGGCATGACAACCTTTGGGCAGATTGAAAATAGGTTTCAGGAACTGTGTTGCTTCTTGACCGTGGACGTGGAAATAGTAGGTTTTGTAATGCCGCTTGTATCAATGTTGAATTCATTCTGAGAAGTGTAGTTTATTGTAAGGTTATTAATTTAAACTCTCCTGTAAGCAGTATTTGTAATTTGAAAGGAACAGAGTGAAGAGGCAATTACAAAATGTAGGTATGGAAAATATATTTTAAAGATTAAAGAAGAAAAACTAATGCAACGTTCCTGTTCTGTATATGTTATAGGAGTGTAAGCCTACTAATGTTAGATTGGTTCTCTGAGAGAAAAGGAGAAGAAAGGGGTGGAAATGACAAGGCTTTTCTTAGTATTTCTTAAACCTATTCTGAACAATGAAGACGCTAAACAAGTGCTGCAGCTTGCAGAGGAAATGGGAGGAGCCAATCTGATGAGAAAAACAGGCTTGGGTGGGGTGAAAATTATTAAAAGACCTTAGTTTGCCAAACTAATAGTCTCAGAAAGGTAAGAGGGCTGACTCTGAGATTCCGCATCAAGCAAGCAACCTTGTCTCCTGTTTTTAAGTCTCAGATCCTTATGTGGTTGGCCCTTGTTTTAGCAAACTGAATGTGAAAGCTGATAAATATGAGAGATGATTGATAACTTCAGCAGTGTACTCCTCACTCTGTGTACTTGGAGAAGGAAATAGCTGAAGTCCTCATATGATTCTTCTAAAAGAAAAAGTAGGCTAAGAAAATAAAAAAGTTTGGATTCGTCTCAGTCAGTTTTCCATGAATTGGGTCTTTTTTTCATGCCTTTATTTCAGGAGTAATTACTTTAATACACTCCAAAATTACAGCATATTCCTGAAGCTGTACCTTTTTTGTAATGATCTTAGTCTTTTACAGTTATTTTTAATTATTACAAGTTTAAGAGAAAGTGATCTCTTAAAATATTCCTCAACTTATGGTGGCATGTGTTGCTTGTACTTGGAGTTCTTTAACATGTGTCACATGGGATTTTGTTTTCTGAAGTAGAATGTACCGTTTTAAAATGCCACTTTTGTCAAAGGAAGGGTAAACAAACTATTAACTAGGCCTAATGAGCTAATTAATTACTTCTAAAGCATATTTGTGATAAACTGCTTAGGTAGGCTGAAAGTGCATTGCAGGACATATGATAGGTATTTTTTCTCCCATGTTAGTCAGTGACAATTTGAACATAATCTTATTCATCAGGATATTTTACTTTTTTTAGTAAAGTATTTCACTTTTTTAATATAAAACATACTTTTACATTTCATGGCTTTTTATGTGACTAGAAGAGATAGTAATTCAAAATTAAATACATTTGGAGGCAATCTAGGCGTGTATTTGAGTATGAAGTGCCCTTCTAACAACTTTGGTAAATTGGTATTGTTGGTAGTACTATTAGTACTGTTGATTTTTATATATATATATATATAAAATACATACATATATACATGTATATATAAAAATACATATATATATGTATATATAAATACATATACACACGCTATCATTGGCTTTTAAAATTCTGTGACATTTGCTATATATATATGACACCATATATATGACAGGGCTCAAAATCTGTTGGCATTTTTGGAAAGGAATCTGATTTTTTTTTTTTTCTAAAGCATATTGAACTAGATTTTCCCCTGGCCTTTGCAGCTGATTTCAGTCCATTCCAGTGCCTTCTCCCTCTTGGCGTGGGGCAGCCCAGGGGCTGGCCTGCTATTCAGAACAAATCTTCCTTCTGTCACACCTCAGCTGCTTCGCCTTCAGGACTGAACAGATGATTTAAGCACTTCATTGCCAGCATTCTTGCTTCTTCTTTTGGAATGGTTGCATTTTTGTGGCATCAGCATCTTCCTTGGAGCCGAGATCAATCAATGGTGAAGAAGTGAAAAAGCTGTGACACCCAGGCACTCAGTCCTATGAGAGGAGCACCTGAGGTCTCTTATCCTGGCGACCTCTTCTGAGAAAACACAATATTTTTCTCCAGTTGCAGCTGACAGTCTGGTTGATCATGTGCCAGCCTCTCCAGCTTCCATGTATCGTATACATGCCTTTGCTATTACTATTGGGTGCGTTTCTTGAGTCCTCTGCAGTTTCCTCTCTTACTCTATTAATTATTACAGCAAAACTGATTTTGTCTGTCAAATTGCTAACCAGCACCCTTGTCAGGTTTACTTCCTTGGCAGCTAGCCCGTGTTAGGACTGAAAACGTTCCCTTCATTTCCTCCTTCTTTTTCCCGTTAAAAATCACACTAAATATATGCTTGCTACACTACAGCAGAAAGCTGCTCTTTGCAGAAGATGTAGCTGCAGTTATTTCAGGTACTTTATGGCAGCCCTGAAGTGCAGTGTTTTGGGGGCCATGTGACCTTTTGCTGGTATTTCAGCCATCTCCCTGTGGTGATCAGCCTCCTGCCTGGAGAGAACTGCTGCCCTTCCCTGTCTGAGCTGCTTTGTGGTGGCTCACAGAGAGGAGATAGATAGCTCAGTGGTGTGGAAGTAGCATCAGTTTAGAGATATGGATTTTCTTCCCTCTACTTTTATTTTCCTATTCTTTTTCCAGCAGACTTTGTTTTCATAAATACCAAGTGGGGCTATAACTCCTAGCAGTAGGTATGGCATGAGGAATGCTACCTGTAAAACTAACTGATAGCATCTGTGAGTCACGCAGTGATTGTGGAAACCATTAATACAGTAAGCATTGGAAAGAGACCATTACAGTGTGTCAGGTTGTTGAGTCATTATAGAGGTATGTGCCATGTTTTGATTAGCTTCCATAGGTTTGGCATGCAAGTAACTAAGGTGAGCAACTCTCTGAGCTTTGCTTTCTGCTGCTCTGTGAACCAAGGGGAAATACCCAAGCATCTGTATTTCTGCCCAGGACACGTTTGAAGTGTAGGATTCAGGAAAGAAACAGTATTACAGATTTGTACGCTTGAGCTTTCCAGGAGGCTGTGAACTTGAAATGAAGATTATCACACAATCTTACACTCAACCTGCAGAGGCCAAGGAGGACAGATCTTGGCTGCAGAGAAAGGTGTTCACGTGGATCCATCCAGCAAGTCACTGTGAAATCTCACCTTCCTTCATACATCTAATTGTATGACTGTATTCCTTTCTCCTTCACCCCGTTCTCACACCCACCTTTAGCTAGCAGGTTTACTGTTTTGGCTGATCTGTTTTTAATTTATTTGTTAGCTTTTGATGTTAAGTGCCTGTATTCAGAGAGTACAAATAATAGTCATTGTGATTTTAATTGGGATGAGTGATCCATTAATTATCAGAGATAGAATAACATGCTCCTGTATTTTGGACATTATATCATGAGTGATTCAGGTATTATAAGAATCAC